GCTCAGTTTCCCCTCCCTGGTGATATGTTGACCTACTTGAGTGCACCACACCTTGGTGTGGTTTTTCTTGTTTTCACTCCATTTTTGCCATGGTCCAGGAGGATTCATTGAGGGGATTACGCCATTCATTTATTCATTCAACAAGTATTTATGCATACCTGGTCCTGTGGTGGGCGGGGTGGGGTGGGGGGAGTGTAGCCACAGTTCTGGAGGGAAATGACTGTTCTCCAAGTTTTCGACAGCAGATGGCGTCAGTCAGGAGAGACTGACTCAAACAGGCCTGGAAAGTACCAGGGAGGCAAAGGACAGGATGTTTACGGGCACCTTCTCCTGAGGTTCTGCTTCCCCGGGGCTGAACCCTGAAGACCTTTCTCTTCCAGTCAGTGGTGTAAGGACAGCCAGTCCTCAGCCCGCCTCCTCAGAAAACTCCCCACCGCAGCTCCCAGCAAACTCCAGGCCTGCCGGGAATCTTCCAGTAACCCTCCCCGGGGCCTCTGTTGACACATATTGGACATTCTGAGGATGATGATCTAACATCCTTCCTACGCTGCTGCTAAAATGCATGCCTGCGGGCACGCAGGATGTGGCTCCCAAGAACGGAATTTGGAAGGCCTCTCCACACCTTCGCTAGCATCCTCTGGGAAAGAAAGTTCTGTGGGGTTTTCCCTTCTGAGCAATCAGGGTGATGTCACATTTCCAGAGGTTGCGCAATAACTCTTTCTACTTCCATCTGGCCAACACACTCACACCTTCGGCCAAGGCAAGGCCCTCTCTCCGGGCCCCTCCCCCAGGCTGGACTGGCTCTCCCTTCTGCTCCCCCTGCACCAGCGATCACCCTCTATCCTCCATCGTGACCTGAGCCTCTGGAGCTACCCCATGAGTCCTCATTCTCCTCCTATGAGTGGGACATTTATCCAGAAATGGCCCCCAGCACGTGCGGGCCCTCGGTTCAGAACTACTCCCACTAGGCTAAGAGATATAGTTGTTACCTCACCCTGTTATTACAGGATTACATGAGACCTGACACTCAAAGACATTCCCTGTCACACACTGAAGTAGTAAGACATCTAGAGCTAGTCCAGGGGGTTAATAAGAGGCTACGCA